TGGACTGTAATGCTTTTGTTCATTTCAAAGCTAGCATTTATTTGTGTTGAGTTGCTATTTCAGTGAAGTTCTGCATGTAAGTGGATGAACCTGCTGGTTGTAGGGTTGTTGATTTAGTTGGCTGTCAGTAGATCAGCTTGGGAAAGTCCTTGTGTGTCATGTATGTACTTTTGCCATTTATCATAAAGACAGATAATCCTCCCACAACATCGGTCATGTGTGAAGTTGCACTGCCAGTAATGATTTGTACCCAATGACGCTGCCTGCCCACAAGTAGGTTCTTACTTGGAATAACTGGTAACCATATGACTACTTTTTATTTTGCATTTTGGTAATTTTGCAAAATTACAAATAAACAGAATACCCCGAAACATTTCATTAATATTAACATCACTTGTATAATGAGAGGATGAAACATTGATAGACTGTTTGATAGTAGTAGGCATGTTTCTACAACAAGTGAATTCATAACCTGAGGCCTTTAATCTTCAGAGAGATGCATTGTGTAGTTGATATGTAACACTTAACAATTTTTAATGGAAACACAAGCCAGAATTTTCCGATTCTAACTATGTATCATTAAACATAGACCAGGTGGCTTATAACAAAAAAAGAGCCACAAGTAAGTAACCATGCTGAGTGTAATGTTTGATGCGTTTTACTGGAGGTTTCATTTAAATATTAACTTGTTACTACACACTTTTGTTACTATGTGGCACTATCTATTTTCTGGTCTTCATCAGAAATAAATCAGAATTAAAGAATACCCTTTTGAAAATCAACATTTAGGCTTACTGGGCATTGGTTAATATTTAGGTGGCTATGAATATATATACAGCTAAATGTGTTTTATCAACTTTTTTCCATCATTTTATTTTGATAGTTTTCCCTTGCTGTTTAGAATCTCAGGAGCATTTGTGCCAATTATGTATTTTTTAAAAAATTCTGTCCAACTGACTTTATGAGATCAATGGATTTTCCTTTAGGAATTACCCTTAGTGAGATTTTTGGAAAAAGGTGATGCCTATGGAGAGATGCCTGGCAGGTCATGCTGTACAAGAGATATGCTGTGACAATTTGCCTGAGAAGAACATTCCACACTTCGACAGATGACAAACTCCTCTTCTCATATCTTGGTGTGCTTAAATGAGCTTGAAGCCTTGTAAAACAAATAGAAATTGGTTCAAAAGAAATGGAAAATCAAAAATAAAAAAGCACCAAACAGAACAGAGCAAGGAAAAAAATTATTAAATAAATTAAGGTAATAAATAAGATGCAGACATGATCAATACAGTTTTAATTAAGAGTATTTCAAACGCAAAGATTTCCAATGATTCTTCTTTAGGTGAGGGTGGGGTTCAGGGAAAATAGTTGTTGACAGCACTATTTACCAGGTACGTTATGAGAAATTGCAAACATGTGCAATTCACACCATTTTTTTAAAAACTTACAAAGATTCTCATTCAGCAGGAAGAGAACAACCAAACATGATTCAGTTCAAACAAAAAGGGCAGTAATAAGCGCCAGACGCATCTCCACAGTTTTCAGATTCTTAGAAGTTCATCATGCACCTTCAGACTGATTAGAGAGTAAAAAGGGGATTATGCATGGAGGGAGTGGGCATTGCTAAACTACTAAATTAATACCTTGCATCTGTCTTTGCCAAGAAAGAAATGTTGTCCAGATAGTAGCAAAAGAACAGGTAGGCCAGACTCTTGAAGGGTTTAAAAATTGATTGAGTGGAGTTCTTGGATAAGCTGTTTATAGTTCAAGTTGATTAGACCAAAGGTCTGAATGTGATGCATCTAAGGATACTGAAGGAAGTGAGATTGGAAACTGCAGAGACACTGGCCATATTTTTGCAATCTTACTTAAGTCAGAATTGGTGCCAAAGGAATGAAGAATTGCAAATGTCCAAAGCTTGTTCAAAAAAGAGTGTAAATATAAGAACAGCAACTACAAGCCAGTCAGTGTAACCTCAGTGTTTGCAAAACTTTAAGAAATGATTCCATGGGACAAAATTAGTAGTTGGACAAATACAAGTTAATTTCAGAAAACCGGCAGTAATTTCTTGACTGCAAGTCATGTTTAATCAACCAGCATGAGTTTTTTTGTTGATAAGGCAATGGAGAGTCTTTATGAGGGCAATGCCATTTATTTGGTTTACATGGATTTCCAAAAGCCATTTGATAAATATTGCAGAGACTTGTGAATAAAGTTAGAAATTAGGGAATAAAAGAAATTGTAGCAATTAGGATACAAAATTAACTGAGTGACAGGAAACAAAGAGTTGTGGTGAATGGTTGTTTCTCAGTTCAGAGAAAGACTTAGAATACAGTTCCTTAATGATAGATCTTAGGACCCTTGTTGTGAGAAATATTATTGACATGGACCTTGGTGTACACAACAGAATTTGAAAATTTGCGGATGATACAAAACTTGGGAAGTATTGAGAACCTTAAGGAAAATAGTGTAGAATTTCTAAAAGGCATAGACAGGTTGGTCAAAGGGTACAAGTGGGAAATGAAATTTAATGCAGAGAAGTGTGAAGTTATTCATTCTGGTAGAAAAATTGCAGAGAGAATGTAAAAAATAAATGATACATTGCTTCACGGGGTGTAAGAGTAAAAAGACCCAAAAAAATTGTACCGTACCCAAGTTTGGCTTTATTGAAGCTTTGTATCTAGTTCTGTGCATCACACTTTAGGAAGAATGTAAAAGGACTGGAGAGGATGCAGAAAACCTTCACATGAATGATTGAAGCCATGAGGCACTTAAGTTATGGAGAAAGTTTGGAGATGTTGGGACTGCTCTCCTAAGAGAAGGTCGAGAGAAGATTTGGTAGATTATTCAAACATGATCGAGGACTAGAGGGTACAATGTATTGGTAATTATGAAAAGAAGCAATGGTGAGACAATAATACACTTTCTCAGGCAACAAATATTTTTGCACTACCAGGGAATTTGATGGAGGCAGGGTCAAATACGACTTATCTGAAAAATGAACAAGGCTATGGGGAAGAGGCAGAGGAGTAACACTAGTGAATTGGCCCTTTTAAAAGGCCAGCTGGTCATCTCCTGTACTGTAACCATTCTATGCTTAATTTTCCACTAACAGAATGCAAAACAAAATTTGGCTATTTCGACAGCCACCTAGGTTTGTGTACAAACAGAATGATCAACCAGTAAAGATATATTCTGCAGATTATCCTAACTAAATACATTTTGTTTTTCTCCCCCTCCAATTGAATTCGGGGTGGAGGTTTAAGCAGGTTAATTTCTATCCTAGTGAGGGAAGGTAACTATAATCCCATTCTCTCATTAGAGAGAGACAAGATGGTTTAACCTTTAGGTCAGTACACATCATGCAGAGGGTACAGTTGATAAGGCAGGACCTTCATGGTAATGATAAACTCAGCTGATGCAGGAATTGAACGCGCACTGTTAATGAAGTGGAATGACATGCATTGATTGCACATGAAACTTCTAATGGAGTTGCCTGGCACCCAATCTTGTGTGTGATGGTCCTGTGCAGAAGTAATATTACAATGCTAACTCACACTCATTAGGTGTATGAAACTTTGAGTAGATAGTGGTGCATAACTTGATGGTAATTTGTGCCTTTTAAGTACAGTGTCCAAATGTTGAAGCTTGGAAAATCCTGGCAGTAACAGAGCTTGCTGTCTGCCTGTCCATAAGATTTGGGTTTTCACCTGTGCATACAATCTAATTCACTGAGAAGAAAGTAATCACATGAGAAAACCCACCTTCGCCCAAATGGAACTTATCTCCCCTATTAAGCCCATCTCCACACAGTCTCAGAAAGCACTTTATTCATGTTTTCCATCCAGTACATGGTCTGGGCAGCCTAGAACCTTGTACTTTGTGAGTGGAATTTAATATTGTTGATATGAATTATGCCCACAGCTGGAAAACCAGCAAGAGTTTTGCATCATCTACTTTTGGAAAGATCTGCTAATATCAATGCCAATGAGGAATTTAACTACAGCAGTGGGCCTTCACCAGGATCAAGATTACCATCAACCTCTGAGTCAATATTAGTAGCAAGGGGGTGAGATCCTTAAGTATGCATTTATTCTACACTTAATACCGTTTTTAAGGGCCAATGGCAGTAAGCCAGTACATCCATCCACAGCTTTATTTCCCCAGACTTAAATTATAAACAGGGCAATATATTACAATATGTAGAGATCTCTGAAATCTTGAAAAATCCATCAAATGTTTAATTTTCTCATTGGTAGATGTTGATGATTCTTCCCTTGCTGTGAATAAAGAAAAATCATTCTCCTTTTCGAGAACCAGTCTGTGCTCAAAATTAACATCAAGATTTTTTGACATCCTTGCTGAGAATGCCATAAATTTGAAATCACTTATTCCATTTAGGTCTTAATTGTATGACAATACTTCAATTTGATGACTACTAAATTCTTTTACGCTTTTATTATATCACGTTTCACAGATTCAAAAGGTAAAAATGATGCCTGATGATTAATTATGTATGATTATGTTGGAGCTCCCATTATCCTCCAAGACAGGGTAACACCTTACTGTCTGGCCAATACAACAGCAAACAGTCAGCCCATGAAATACCAACCACGGTAATAATGATTAAGTGAAGATGCAGGAAAGTTACAAATGCTATAACATTGTAATTTGCCTGCTTTGATGATAGGAAACTAGGTTAGCAACCGAGGCATTACAGGCTTCAACTTAGAGTCAACTTTATTGTCAAATGTGATGATTCTCAGATTCTAGGATACTCAAATAAAACTTAGCTGCAATAATAGGAATCCAATCTACTGCTGTTATTGTGGACACAAATTATCTTGTACTGTGGCATGAATGTCTGCCTCCAATGTTTGTGGTAACATGCAACACCATGTAGTTCTTCATACAGTAATGCAAGTTTAGCAGAGTTTGGGGAATTAAATCCAATTACCAGGTATTTCTTTCTCAAGAAGTGTGTTTATTTTTCCCAGGTGTGATTGGGGCAGATGTAAAAGGTTCCAACTTGCCATGTGAAAACAAGCCAATTACATCAAGGCTAGCTATCATCTGTGGAACATCCACTTGCCACATGGGGGTAAGAATTTTCAACAATGTTTCAAACTGAAAGACAATAATTCTTCAATAGTTTAAATGAGTAGTGCAGTATATAAATTGTTATTGAAGCAGTAAAAGAGACAATGGCCTAAATATCCCATTTTAATTATTATCAAATTGCCCAATTCAAGTAAATTGAAATTATTTTATGGTTGGGATTAGAACCTGAGGTTTGGGAGTTGTGATTACAGGCATGTTACATGAGAAATGTTAATGATAGGTTTCTGTTCTGTTTCTTAGACTGGGATCCCAAAATTTTATTTAAAAAATTAAATGCAGTTAAACTCAATCCCCAAATGGATGCACATGTCTGTAATGGGGTCAGCCAGGTGGACCTCACAGAATATGAGTTCCCTGATTGGGGCTATTAATCTGATCTAATCAGGAGGCCATGGCTGACAGATATAAACAGGAGTGTCAGAGGTTTTTTTCACTCTGAGAGCTGGTTCTGAGGAAGCGGGATCAGTGTCAAGGACTCTCCATGTGTAACTAAAGGGTTACTAGGTAACAGGATACTGGCCTTTGTGAAGTTATTTCAGCATCTTCTGTGTAATGTAAAATATTTTATGTTGGGTTCTTCAATTCATAGTGTGCCCATGCTTGCAAGGTAGTTGTTTCCGTTGTACCAAGCACACAGGTGCTAGCTTCCTATTAGTGCCATAGCTGAAATTGGACAGAATTGGAAGTTAATTGAGCAGGATAATCAGGTCTCAATGAGGTTGGAAATAGAAGTAGATGGAGTCTTAAAATACAAGCACAGATCAGTTTGCTGCTTTCCTGACCCTATTCCCAGTATCACCCATTTTGTAAATAGGTAGGTTTGGGCCTAGTAATACCACCTTCTATCACAAGGGGAGCAGTCAGTTAGACATGTTAAGAGCCTTATTAAGAGTAGGTAATGGAGACCATCTGGGATTTTCCTTTGCAAATACCACTGACCAGGAACCCAATTGCAGGCCAGGGTACCAGCACTCTAGGAGGTGCGCAGTTCTCCTCAACCTGCTTAGAAAAGGTTACATCCAAAGACCACCTGTGGAAGGGCTGCCCCCCAAATTAATGGCCACTCTGCATATTCTGTTATTACCTTTTTGGAGAAGTGACTGAAATGGCACCTTCTTGATGTTGAAGAGCCCACCTTGTTATTTACCATTTATTGCAATAGTTACTCCTCTGAAGCTGGAAGGTCTCAGACTGGCTGCCCAGCTTTGAGTGGCTGTGAACCTGTCTCCATGCCAATCAACAGGATGCCCTGATCAAAGTACCAAAAAGTAACTGGTGGCCCCAGGGATGGTTAAAGAATGAGAAATGGTCCTGGTTTGTGTTTCGTGTCCAAAAAGTGAAAATTGAGCTGATGGTGCCACATTTCAGCATTGCAAAAAGAATTTTCATGGTATAATTGATTACCGTTTGAGCTGAAAATAATACCTCATTGCCTATTAAAATTTGTTGATCACAGTTCTACAGTATTTTGGCTTGGGTTTGCATTGGGAATAACCATGAATCTAATAACTTTCACTATTATTCTAGAGAAAAGTGGGGAGCAGCCTCCAGCATCTGCTCACGTATGTTTAAAAGTAGAAATGAGAGGCATCTGGTGCTGCACAGAATATGCATTAGAATTCTTTGCTGATGTATTGACAATGTATTGAAATGCTTATAGTGATGTGAACTTGGGGTACTTGTGCTCTAGTACAAAGTTGACTAAGTTTGTGAGTACCATGTAAATACAGAAACATCATGCTGAACAAAGCATTTCAATGGTGAGTTGTCCAGTGAAATGGCATTTTTGCAAAGCGTCATCACATCTTTGAAAGTCTTTGTATTATTTTGACAGTAGATTGTGGTTGGTAGTTTATTCTCATTTACTGCTGTCAACTGTCAAATTGAAAACATTCTTGATTGTGGGATAGACTTTAACTGAGACTTTTAATGTTACACATTCAGAATTCCAAAATGCAGCAATTCAAGGTGGTCATGTTTTGTTTCAAAATGCCCAATGGTAATGATGATAAAGGTTTGGAATTAATCTCCTGCAATGAGAGACCTATCTGATCAAGCTGGTGGATATTTTTAATGTGTTATGACATACCTCTGGAGCAGCCGGAACCTGACTCAAAGGTTAGGACACTTCCACAGTACCCACAAGAGCCCTTGATTGTGCTGATAGATATTTTCTAATCAACCTGTTCAGAAATGTTGATACATACATCTGGATCAGGTAGGACTTGATATTCAGGCCTCTAGTTTGATCAGCTTCAGGTGCGCATTGCTTTAATGCATCACCAAGAATAACACCTCTATAACATCTATGGAGAGGAACTTTATATGAATTGACTGATCTACGACATTGTGGGAACACAAATAAAATTCTGTACTCAAAAAATGATAAAGCATTAATTGAGGAGCACTGGTATTGGAATTTTACTGAGATTCATAAACAAATCTTGTGATGTTAGAGCTCAATAAATCTGTGCACTTGAGTATTTCTTAATGCTTTTTATTTCGGGTATGAGCACATTACTCATTAATGCTATGTATTTGATGGAGTGTTGAGAATTTAGGTTTTTTCATAAATGATGGAGTATACTCAAATTATCTGACCATGGTAAATTAGTATGCTTGCTATGCACAACTGCACCCTAATACTTATTGACATTTACATTGCAAAACTGTTTTCAGTGCAAGTGACTGTAAAGTAAGATACGGTTTCCTCTTTTAACTAAATTAAGAATTTACCCCATCTTCACCATAAAGAATATTCAGAGACCAGAGCAACTGTTTATGACAGTTGGACATTGACTTTAAAACAATAGTTTCTGGGTGAAAATCAGCCCAGTAAGCAGCATTAAATTTGCAATGCTGCTAACCATCAGAAGTAAATAATGTGTTGGATTTTACACCCCTGCACTGACAGGTTTCAAAGGTGGGGATGGGCCTTCTAAAACCCAGCCCATCTGCCCCTGACCTGCCTGATATTCTAAAGGCGGCCTACTGAGGCTGTTAAGTAGCCAATTGATGGCTTGGTAAGGATCTCAATGCATAGCTGCTTGTATTTTACCTGCAGCTGGGAGGATGCCACACAGTGCAGAAAACCCAATGGCTTAGTTAGTTTCTGCCAGGAGAGTGAGTGGGGGCAATAGGGAATCTCCTTTGGGACTTCCTTGGCATTACAAGAAGACCTGTCATTCCAGAGATGACAACTCCACCTGACATTGCTGGAGCTACAGAGTTTCCAGTCATCTGTTTCAGTGGTAGCTGACAAAACATTGTGGGAGACATTGTTCCTTCTCTCTGGAAGGACATAGATTGCTTCATTTCCATTACAGTGTGGTCTTGAAACACACAAACAATTTTGCCCCAAGAGAGTGCAATTAAAGTCACAAGTGACCAACTACCTTGTACAGTGTTACAATTGTTCTCAGTGAAATCAAAACAGGGTTGTTGCTGACACTGGATACCAGAAGTAAAGAATTTAAATGTATATGTCATTCTCAAATTGCATCAAAATGTGTGAAAGTGCTTCACACAACCTATACCTTTCGAGTATTGTCACTTTGGTACTTTAGGCAGAATTAGCAGTCGCAGTTTGCTCAATTTGCACATGAAGTATGGGTGGTGTCAGTCACAGCAAGAAGATTGCATTCATTGACAAAACTTACTACCTACTTTCTTAAGGCAACATGGATGCAGTCTTGAAATATAATTTTCAATATTAAAGTCATGACCCTACCGTTCAACCTATAATCTCTGTTAGTTGCAACATTACATGCCAGGAAAATGGGCTTGATCTTGAATGAAAGGAAATTAAACTAGCTACCTTTGTATAAGTGATGATTTGCCTGAAGATTGAAAATTACAGTTCATCCTAATGGCCTAGGTTTTCAAGACTTAGAATTACCAGAGACTGGATATAAGACCCAAGATGTATGCTGAGATCCTGCAGAAATCCTGATGCACTGACTTCTGTGGGAATTATCCAGCAAGTTTGAATTTCCAACAGGCAATTCCCCTGCTCCCTAGGACCCTCTGCAAATCCTGATTTGGAATCTGAGATGACGACAGTTGTAACAAAGTTTAACAGAAAGCTCCCAGTTTACTTCCTGGATAACTACAGATTATGCCCTCAACCACCTAATACTCACCATCTTGCCTGACTGCCTCCATCCAATCTGACTAGTCCCCGACTTGACTAACCCTGGAGCTGACCACTTCTCCTGTCCCAACTCGACTACCCTTTGACCCATCTATCCACTCTTTAACCTTATCAACCTGCTACCATACTAACTTGCCACCTCACCCATCTGCCACCCTACCCACTTACCGCAACTAACCTACCCATTTATCCATTTACTTCACACATCCACCCACCTTGCCACTGTATCCATTCTCCCATTCATCCGTTCGCTAACACTGTCCACTGCCTATTCACTAACATTCACGATGGGCATTTATACTTACCTCATAGCAACTAGAGCGGTAAAAAAGGAGATATGTCTAGTCTTCCCTCTGATGCTAAAGTATGGAGATGAAGTTTTCATGGGGCTGTACACTCCACATTTCTGTAGAGGCCAAGCTTGGTAGCCTGGGGCAGAAATGTTGACCACCACTGGGTTGTGTTTGAGCAGAGTAACTATCCAATGGTAATTTGGCCATGTTAGTGTTGTGCATTGATTCATCGTGTTCCATATCATCATTGGAAATATAGTTTATAGTCAAAAAAAGGTTTTAAGTACATGATAGATCTAAGAGTGGATGAGAGAGTTTCAATGTTGCACTTAGAAACAAGATGGTTATGTCAGTGCAAGTTCTGAAGTTATTCGGTGTCGCAATCCAACTCTAAAATTTGGGTTTTGGGCAATAAATCTCCAATGTTAGTGTGATTCCCAAATATTCCAGCCAGCAACAGAGTGGCTATGCATGTTGCTGACTGATTTAAATTGCCTATTACAATTTTATGCCAAAGCCTTTGCACATACTCGG